GGCTTAGGGTTTAGGGTCTAGGATGGGGCAACATGCGTAAGATATCCCCTTTTTGCTACTGGATTCAAGTCTAGCCGCTAGCCAGACCACGACCTGCAATCATCTTGACTGTAGGATATCCCGAAGCCTAAACCCTTTTGGCAACAAGCCTCGTTGTCCAGCAGCCCGGTCTAGCCAAACCCTAGACCCTAAACCGCCTAAACCTTATGGTAGTCTCGCAATGAGGCTCGGCAGGGTGCATCATCTCTCCCGTCACAGGCCCCATAACTTGCAGTCAGATTGAAAATCCACGAAGCACCACAACCTTCCCTCTCCGAGAAACTTAGTTTCCCGGTTAATGTGAGGACGAACCTCGAGGGCCCCTGAACGCGAGGAATCCTTGTTGTGAACCTTTTTGGGGCTACAGCCTGCAACGGCCTCTGCTGGGAACCAACGATTCCTGATTCCTGAACTCTACCAAAAAAATGGTAACCATAGAAGGCCCTGAACCCTAAACCCTAAACCCCCAAACCCTAAATGATAACCACAGAAAGCTGAATGGAGATCTCCCGGGTCCGGCCTCTGATGCCCAGGGGCCTCGCGGGCTTATGGGTTTTTTCAAGACACAGGGAGAATCTTTGCACGGGGGGTTTGTTAGTGGCGAGCTTTTGGGGTGGAGAGTTCAGGGTAATGCTTAAGGAATCATGGGGCGTAGTGCGTAACGACGATATTATAAGGAGGAATAGAACAACGATGCCCCGCGGCCTCTTGTGGCTCCGGCATCACCGGGCTGGACGTGTCCGGAGGCCCTGCACGGATGTCTATAGCAGCTGCAGCACTACATCGAACAGAGTTGCGAATGATAATTGAAATGGATGCACAGCAGCCACTGTCACCTTCCCATCAGGCAACCATAAGCCCAACCTCGAAACTACCATGTTTTATTAAGGCCCCGAACCACCGGAACTGCCCTTTGAACGGTCGTTCCTCGATCATCGAGGAGTGCCTTTCCAACCTGGCGAGAAGGTCGCGGCTTCGTTGGCAACAGCAGGAGCGAGATATTTCGGGAGACGTATGCTGAACCTGGAGGGTCGGGGTACTTCACAAGTAGCAGCTACTTTGTAGAGCTATAAGTATCGTAATCCAACTAGGATCCCTTTGAGGGGGGGGGGTAGGACATGTACTAAAAATGCACTCTCTATTTTTCACACAGGCAATCACGGGCACGTACAGAGAGCGAGAAAATGGCATGTCCATCTGTGTGGTTACTGGTTATGCCCCGCCACCATGTAAGAAACATTGCCATGTATGTAAAAACACACGTCAGCAAGCGCAGGTTCCTCATGTTCCTACTCATGCACATGTCTGCTTCTGGAAGCTTCATTTACAACATCTGAACCCTGAACCCTAAACCCTTATAATAACCCTAAACCCAAAACCCTGCTTATCTCGTGGCTAGCGGTAGCGGTTCGTCTCGGAACCTGCGAGACACGGCAGACAGCAATGCCCCTCACCTCCACCACACCCTCAGCCCCCACCTCCTCCACCCCCACCCAAGCACATACTGTCCATCCGCAAAGATCGTATGGCACCCCTTCAGACCAATTTAGGCCGAAAGCGCTTTCTATGAAGAACCCCTAAACAAGAAACCCTCGAAAGCAAATTTAAGCTGGGGAAGCGTGCACGATCAATGGGGATCGCATTCGGTCTGGCCTGATAAATCTAATTGGCAGACCCCGCACCATACCAATACTAACACTAATACTAAATGCTTATACTCAGACTAAGATTAGGACTAAGACTAATACTAGTACCCCTCCATCCCTCCACCCCTCCATCCTTCATCAGCCCAGCCCAGACCAGTCCCTCCACCCCCAACCCTCCCCCTCCCCCCCCTCTCACGTGAGTATAGATTATGAGTATGGTGCCAATCCGATCCTGACTTTCACAGGGCCCTGAAAAAGCCGGCAAGGCATAGCCTTTGGCTCGTGACCCCGGCGCAGCCGTGCAGGGTAGTCTGCTGTCCCTACCTTGCCAAATGAACCCTGGTTCTGGCGAATGTTATGCTACAGTAGTAAAGAACCCTTATGGAAGAATACAAATACTTCAAATACTATATAATACTGTTCCTGTGCGGACAGCAGAGACTATATAATACTACTAATACATCCCAATCCCGTGTGGTAAGAGCGAGCCAGACGAGGGCTTCGGGCGGAAATCTCAACCGAGTATCACTGAGTTCCCATGCCCTTAAATCAGGCTCCCTGGTGGTTGTGACAGTGGTAGGAGTTGTAGTTAGAGTTAGAGTCGTGGTAGCAGCTTGGCCACAATTCACAAGGTAGATCCTGTGCTTGCGGCACCAAATAGTTTTCTTTGCCTCACCTTTGGCAACTGCTTTCTTCAGCTTCGGCGAGTACTGAGCTTCCATGATAGCAATATAGCAAGTGGGCTGACACTCAATGCCATGATGCTGTTATGGGTCTCTCGTTGCCAGAATCAAAGCTAGCATTCGTGGAAACATGCGGCGCATTCTGCATGCTGGCGGCGTGACCGATTCTGCAGGTTCTCTTCATCACCGAGAGCTGACACAAGAGGCTCATGTTCACCATTAACCTCTAAGACTCTAAGCTTCTCTATAGCCGTGGCTGTCTACAATGAGAATTGCCCAATCGGGAACTCCCCTGTATATGCTTGAACAAAAAATGGTCTTCGGGTTGGGCTTCAACTAGGGCGGAGAAGTTATGGTCCAAGGGTTTGCGGCTTCGATTTCGGGTTGAGGCACAGGCTACTTCTTGAGTGAGGTACTGCAAGGACCCTCCGAGCACGCAACGTTGACACGCTGGAGACCTCGCTCCTGCAGGGGCTTCGCTTGGGGTTTAGGGTTTAGGGTTTTTTACGGCTGGCTGAAGGCTCTTCGCATTCGAGATTTACGCTCTCGCAACTCGGAGAATGGGAGTTAGGGTCTTAGAGGGGGTGGTTTCATTCGTGTGAACCCTTTCCAAGTGCACCTTGGGAAACTTGCGTCTCGCCTGACACAAGAGGCTCGAAACAGAAGCTCTTCAATGCATCGTACAACGCCGGTCGTCTGCCGTTTCATGTTGCACTCTACAGAGAGGAATTGCATGGACTCGACATGCTGAGGGGGTTGCAAGATGTAGCCTGTCCCTTACGGTTTGAGTTTAGGGTCGGAGATCCTTTCAGTAAGGGAGCCATCCTCCCCAAATCGCGCAAACCCCAAAAGAAGCTGTCCTCGAAAAAACGTTTGTTGTACGGCATCAGAAGCTGCTCGCCTTTGGCGACGCCTCGGTCGGGACACGCCTGATTGAACCCGAACTCGAAGCACGAGAGTTGCAAGCTGGCACTCCTGCAGCGTCGCAGAGAGTCGCCACTACGTCACTACAATCATTCTCAATTCGAACACCACCCGAGCTCTGTGGCAGTCAAAACCCGCTCCAACATCCCACCTAACCGAATCCCCTTACTCCCACACCACCGGCGGAACATTTTACAGTACAGTTCAATACAACAAAAGACAAGACCACCGATGTAGTACATACCATACAATACAATACAATTCAATGCAATACAAGGACAAGGACAAGGACAAGGACAAGGACCGAGACTAAGACAAGACAATATATAGTAAAATGCTGCGCCTCTGTACAATTAATAGAGTTCAACATCATATCACCTCATACCGTATCATGTCACCTTATATCGGATCACAAGGTTTAGTATAATATACTATATACATATATTAATATGACATGGAAAGACCTACCCTAGTATAAAAACATGCCCAGATCCAAGGGAAACGCCCAACCCCCGCGTGTAGAGAAGTGATCGCGCATGAGGACAAACCTTTAGAACCTCGTCTTGAAGTACACAGCGCGGGCTTCATCCTAACTGCATGCCTCTCAAGACATGCGCCGCGAAATCGCCACTTCTCGATTTGTGGTGTACGGTTTAAACTTGAAAATGATGTTCCGGTCTCACAACTCGCATAAGGCTGGCAAGGCTCCACACAATCCGAACCACCACAGAGGCAGCACATCGGAGCTACAAACAATAATACGGCAACAGCTGAACCAGCGCGATATGCGTCTCAGTAAACCATGGGAGACGACATGAAACGGTTTGTAGCTGCAGTCAAGCATAATGCAAACAAACACAGGTCTGAGTAAAGATGAATAGGAAACACGGGACTACGAAGAAAGTGCAACCGCTGCAGCCTGCAGCATATCCGCGCAGATCGAGGCATTGCTCAACTCATTCCGCTTCTACGCCACTGTCGCATTGAACAACCCATTTACCGAGTCTAGCCAAGTCGTAATGCATTCACCAATTCAGGTAAGGACCCACATGCACGGCTGCATCAACTGGCCGGCATACATCCCATGGCAACAACTCAGTAGCCCAACTTCCAGTCAAAGACCAACAGAATCTGAGTTCACCTCGAGCCTTACAACCGAGATCCAAGTCCCACGCAGTGCCGTGTCTGAAAGAGCCAACATCCGAATCCTTGGCTCCAGGGATCTTGAAATTCGATTCGACGGATCTGCCGTTTGGGTCTCCATCCATGCGGATCTATGTATTTGGGTACAGGATTCGGCGCGCCCGGTCTTTTCCTCGATAATAATTAAACTGACTTGGCACTGGATTGTGTCGGATTGGGGCTGGGACCCTAAGATGTTCGAACTATTTCGCGTCGCCGCTGCTGAAACACACCAGAAAAATTCTGTAGAGCTCCCCGCCGGGAGGCGCGCGACCTGCACCCGCAAATGCCAGACCGTCGCTGCACTTCCGCAAACCAGGATTGGCCAAGAAACCCGCACCCCCGCCGGTGTGGATCTTCGTGGTGCATGCCAGAGTGCTGGCCTTTTCGATGAAGGCTAGGTCGGGTTTGGGAAACTGTAGACTGTTCGAAGACTGGCAGATGGCTCATGGACGCATATCAATAGCTACTTTCGTCTTGCTGCTGCTCTTTCCTCTCTCCATGGTCACGTGCTCCTGTGCTTCACGAAACTCTACGACCACGGTTTAAGCTCTTGGCGTTTCCTTGTCCCAACCCTTCCAGCCTTGCTTGGCTCCCCTAGATCGTCCAAGGTACCTCAATTTAGGAAGGTTTTGCACCATTCTGGTGGCATGTGGGGAATGCTCCTCAACCCTAAACCCTAAACCCTCAACTAAGATGTCCAACAGGAATCATCCTCGCGCCGTTGCGCCTCGCTGGGGCCCGGGGCAGCGCAGTACTGCAGCAGACTCCTCAGGCTCCAGAGGCTTGCACAGCGCTCCTGTATATTATCGTAAGTCGTTAGAGTATATGACATTTCATGTTATAGGGTAGTATATTTTGAATTACGTTATAGTGTAGTCTATAGTAAGGCATGGCAAAGAATCGTATTCTATGTAGCAAGGGAAAGCATGTTGTAGCTTAGGTTCAGCGCGTCTAGGTGTTCATGCTCGGGCTGGATAGATGAGGTACCTGCTTTACAGTCGGCTACAGTGCACAAGCCTAAGCCCTGAACCCTCAACCCACTGCTTGATTTTTTGTTGGCTTGGTCTTCTGCAAGCTGTGGATCTAAGAACCTAAGCTATGAGAGGCACTCCTTGAAGTACCAACATGCCACGTTCAACGTGGCAGTGATTCCTCGCAAGACACTCCATGTCAAAGACGAATGAATGGCATTGATGCGGATTTTGGGTATTGTTGTCATATTCACTTCGTGGCCCTGCGTGCTCGGAATCACCACTATAATCACTATAACTCTCGGTGAGGCAGCCAATCACCGACCCCACTCGCTCTCGTCAAAGGACGGGAACCCCTTCGCCGAGCCTCAAACGACGATTGCGGTGCCCGCTCCGCGCCCCCACTGTGCATCGCTGGAAGAGCCAACAACACCGTTCTCGATGCCACATTCGTTGGTTCCACGCCTCATGCGGAAGTACCCTTTCTCACCCCAGTATGGGTTCCAGGAGTTTGCCATCTTCCAGTACTTCACTCCGCCATCGACGCCCCAGCCGACCATTCGGACGGCATGTCCACCTACCATCTCACCACTCACGTGGTGGTAGATCCCATGGCTGTAGAGCTCGAAGTCTGAGTACACATGGAACGCGGTCTCCACGGGTCCACCGGAGATGATCATCTGCTGGATGGCTCTCTCCCCAGATGCCGTCTGCGTCTGTCCCTTGTAGGAATACTTGTCCTGATTGAAATCGTTGTGAGGCGCTTTGGCCGTGGTATCACACTGCGTTGGTCCTGGTGGAGACTCCGCCTCTGGGCAGCCCTGCGACCCCTCGGCAGGATAGGGGTCCTTGCCTCTGGGACCATGGTGGTGGCAACGCGGCAGGGAGAAGTCGCTGCAAAGGCCAAGCCCAAAAGGACCTTCTCCTTTGTACTGGCCACCACTGACAGCACCGGTGTCCTTGATGTATTGCCATGGCGTAGCAATCTGCCCTCCATCGCAACCATCTCGGTTGGAATTGAAGCACACGTCCTGGGCCGAGATGGGAATCATCGTCTTGCCCTTCGTTGCAATACACATTCGGTCAGAGGCGGCTTCAGCCCCTGCAAAGGCCCAGCAGCAGCCACAGTGAGATTGGTCACGTATGTCATCGATGATCTTCTCACACTCTGGCCACTGCGCTGCCGAGTCGAACTCCTCTGGGATGTCTCCATCCGTCTCAAGGAAGCGCTGGATGTCTCCTCGCTTAATCGCCGACTCGATGGACTCCGTCGTGTTGCCTTTCACGCCGCAAAGGCTCTTGGAGGCTCCAGGCGCCTCGGTGGCAAAGCGCTCCACGGCGCCAGGGACCCAGGTAACTCCTGGTGTACGCTGGATTTCTGCTATCATTGCTGCACGATCGGGATGCACCTCGAAAGAGGCCACGCCCAACAGGCCAAAGCCAAGATGCAGCGCTCGATACATGACGCAGCACGAGTCGGGAAAGCCGGAGTTCTATCCTTTAACTAAGAGCTCGAAACTTCTTGAGCCATTGCCAGGAGTTTAGGGTTTCGGTTTAAGCGCTTCGGTACTCACTCTCGAGCAAGCTGGGACACGCTCAACGAGGGGACAAACACAGCCTGCTAGCCGCTCGCCGCGAAGCGAGCATCCACCGATCATGCACTGGGTCAGCTAGTTAGCTGTGGTGGTTCCTAAACCCTAAACCCTAAACCCTAAACCCAATCCTGAAGTGGACGGCTGCTAAGCCCCTCAAGCGTCCTATCTTCTGAAAGGGCCCTTCGTAAGGCTTTGGTCTGCATCCTGCTCTGCCTCTGCCCTAAAGACCCCAAAAGCACTGAAGTCCCCAAAACCCGAAACCCCTAAACCCCTAAACCCCTAAAACCCTTTTGCATCCAGGCCTATTGCGGGTACCCCTAAAACCCTAAACCCCTAAACCCCTAAAACCCTAAACTCCTAAACCCCTAAACCCCAAAACCACTGCAGCCCAGGGGTCCCCGGGTGGTCGGTGGGATCGATGACCCAGCCCGGCCTTGCTTCGCTGTGCTTCGCTGCTTTTTTCGAGCTCCCAAGGGCGGGCCGATCCCGCCTACGGCCTAGGGTTTAGGGTTTCTTTTTAGAGTTGTTTTTTCCCTGTTTAGGGTTTAGAGTTTAGGGTTTAGGGTTTAGGGCCTACCCCGCCTACTTGGAGGTTCATGGCTAGTTATAAGTGGGGTTATAAGTAGGGTAACTATAGTTATAACCCAAATTAGGGGACCTATAACCCCACTTATAACTACCCATGAACCTCCAAGTACCGCCTAGGAATCCTGAGGCTAAGCACAGATGACAAGTCAGGCCAGCAGGTCCCTGCATTCACTCTGAATTCTGAACATTCACCTTTCATGAGCCCCTGGCGACAACTCAAAGCAGCGGCTAAGGTCCTTTGCCTGGCAGCAATGGCAGGGCGAACGAAGCGCAAGGAAACAAGCATGCTCGGACTCTGAAACAGAGGCCACAACTTAGAAACCACCCATGACCTAAACCCTAAACCCTCCAGCCCAAACCTAAGCATTGCAGTTTTGGGCCCAGTGACCTCAGCCTTTCTACAGCATCGGCCCCACCATGCGAGCCGGTAGCCCTTTGGCAGCGGTCGTGCCTTCGGCTCTGAGGTCCCACAGCACTTCACATTTAGGGTGTAGGGTTTAGGGTTTGGGTTTTGGGTTTAGGGTTTAGGGTTTAGGGTTTAGGGTTTGGGGTCATCGTCAAGAGGTAGCACAAGATATTCGAGGTTTTTCCCTCCCACATAGCAAGGACGAGTTTAGGGCTTAGGGTTATTTATTGTGGTTACATGATGTTACATGGAGTGCCATCCGTATACTGAGCACCCATCTCCAAAGCAGTACAACAGAGATGCTCTCTGTGAGCTTCCCTGAGCCTGGTCCCATGCACCCGTCTATGCGACACCAAGTTCATCCGACTGTTCGGATGCGCTTGCAACACGCCTTGCTCGTCTTCAGAATCTTCTTCCATCTGGCTCTCGCTGTGGCCCTCTCTCTCTCTCTCTGTCTTTCTGTCTGTCTGTCTCTCTCTCTCTCTCGCTCTCTCTTGCTTGCTCTCTCTCTCTCTCTCTCTCGCTCTCTCTTGCTTGCTCTCTCTCTCTCTCTCTCTCTCTCTGGCACTCTCTCGCTCCCTCCTTATCTGCAACAACTTTCACTCCTAGGCCTTGGCTCCAATCCAATCTTTCCGACAACTGATATCTAACCTACGCAGATTCGGCCCAAGCGCGGAAAAGCCATACTGTACATTTTTGTTTGCATCTGGTTTGCATCGACTTAACCAGGACAGAAGCAAGAGGAACAGCCGAAGCCGACAGATTTAAGCTAGAAGCCCTCCGACTCGCGCTAACCATGCCTCTGGAATGATTTCACTAGTGACGATGACTTGCAATTGCTTGAATGACTCGCTGGAAACACCATGCAGGGCACTGCGCACAACATCATAATCGTCTTGACTGAGACCGAATCGGAGACCAAAAGCCCTGTACAGCACCCGTACAGGACTTATGACCAACGTGATCTTCTTCTTCTTCGTCAGCGCAGTTAAGCTGCAGTCTCCATCTCACCTCTCTCGCTCGCTCGCTCGCTCGCTGGCTCTCTCTCTCTCTCTCTCTCGCTCGCTCTCTCTCTCTCTCTCTCTCTCTCTCTCTTTTGAGTAATTGGTGGCGC